CGATACAGAAAATAATCATCATCCACTGCTGGATGTGGAGTGAGAAAGCGGATCACGCAACAGCAACGATCGATGATCCAAACTGCCAAGTCAGAACGGAAATCAACCGTGACCGAGTGACAGAGCTGGTGTAGTAGGGTTGGTGGATATGTGCGACAAACATGCGCACAGACCACCAGGATGTGCACATGTGTGAGAATAAGGCGGGCGGGCGGGCGGACGAGCGAGCGCGTGTACGCTGATACCGCGGACAGAATGTGACCATTGACGAAACAACACACACACGCGCGCAATGTGTTAGCTGATGGACAATATAGACCGATCATGTGATCATTCGATCGATCAACATGAGTGCAAAACTGACGAATGAGAAACGACTATAGTGACGGAGAGAAACAGAGAACTACTGATTCGGTTAGGTGCTGACGGAGTCAAATGGATAAAAAATTCCTTCGAGGGACTAATGCGGATAGTCCACATCGGGGAAAATATTCTACACTACAGGTTGGATGAAAAACGTTGCGAATGTGAATCGAAATGGGTGGTAGTTGCTGAATCGTATCGATCGCCAGTTCAGCGTTTTGATGTTCGAATCGCGTTGTACTCGCTCACATTATAATTCAGCTAGGGCCATTCATTACGTTGATATGTTTACGTGTGGTATATTGGTCCCAATGCCGCAGGTTATTTAAATTCACAGGATCTTAAAGTTCAACAGAAACACGGATAAATTCTTGCATGTTTTTTTGACATATTGACAGTCTAATTGTCGAATGTCATTCAGCATTTCTATCCTCCAGTCCCAATATCATCATAAACTTTGATATTGCGTCCTTCCGTTCTCAGGTTGAAGTGAAATCATTTCTGGACTGTTTTATTCAGTTCATGATATCCCCCTCCAGCCAGGTGGATGGAGTATTGATTCAGCATTGTTGCCAACGCTTATCATGATTCTACATCCCCTTGGATGATATTCGAGTTCAACACCTACAGGAGGAAATTTCATTCCGGACAGGATTATCGTCAGACATCCTTCCACGGGTGTGTATTGCCTTGGTCTTCTACTCAGATCACAGTTATACTCCTCTGCAGTATTTCGCTTATTTAATCAGCCAAAACAGATTAGATCATCTCTCTCTGTTGACCACAAATTCCATTATTTTGGTTGTCCAGCGCCCCTTTCGCCTAGACGATTAGAAAAAATGAGCTCACTGTGGTATCTGAACAGACTAAGCCGGGTGGGAGGTAGACTCCTCTCATCAATTAGTAAATAACTCCGGTGCTATTCCCCTCCTTCTATTCGACCGCAACTTACATTGTCCGCTTATTCACCTGCTAAACTCATAAACTACGCAGATGATGATACTGCACTATGCGAATCCCAGTCTCAGTTTGAACAAGCATTACCCATGCACTTTCGTGCGCCAGTTTTGGTTGCTGTCCTCTGGCTGCTATTTGAATGCAGTAGTAGGAGAAAGACAGGAAATTTGAGAGTAGAGTCGAATAGAAAATGGAGAATTTCAACGGATTAATGTTGCAAGGGAATTGAGAAGATGCACCGACGCCACTGTTTACGACACTCAGCTATATCACTCAGTTTCTCTAACCATCGGTTATGATCCTCCCGAGGACCGCATCCAGGGAGCCTAACAGGACCTATGTGAGCGAGTCTCCTGGTTACGGTTTTCATACCACCGTGCCGGGTCATGACGAACATCGCTCACCGTGGCAAACTATCTGGTGATATGCGTAACACATGTCCCAGCCAACGTAATCTATGGAGGTCGACCACTTGCTACAGTGGACGACCGCGGTTACCTAGAACTCTGTGCGTAACCTCGGCGTTTCACGTCCGGTTGCCCCACCAGATTCGTGCCAATCTCCTTCAAATGGGGTCGGTTGGGCTGCAACTCAAAACCCGTCTATTTAATCACGCCTTATTCTTAATTTATCAAAATATCCCAAGTGGATATACATACTCTTCTGAGCTCATCTTATCTCACTGACTCTTCGTATATCGACGGTTCTTCCATCTGCAGAGTGAATACTGTCACGCACATTGGGGCGTCTCCAGAGCGGGTAATATGAGTTAGTCTTCTCCTATACCGCGTACTGTTGGTCAAATGAAACGGTCGTCTTTTCATATTCGCATGCTACGGTAGTACCGTGTCGAACAATCTCTTATTTTTCCGCTGTATATCAGTGTGATTTACTCGATTACTCGATTCCAGTCTTTCAAAATAAGTCTTTGAATGCCGTCCCTAGACCATTTTGGCAACTATTCTTTGTGGACGTTCCAGATCGCGTTGCAGCCATGAATTCCACGCTTGAATTGCATGCTCTATGCGGGGTCAAAAGTAGGCTGTTAACAACCGTCGGAGCAGCGTAGGTTCAAATCCGCCGAGTACTCGCTTTAGCAAACCAACACGTCTTACAACGGTGGACGCCCTGGAGCAGTTTCAAGAGCAACTTAAGTCGTCTTGAACAATGGCACTGAGGTCCTTCTCATTCAAAACATTTACGTAAGTTACTGATCTCCCAGGAAGTATGGAAACCGAGTTTTGTGGCGAAGGGATAAGACCGTACACTTTGATGCATTGAATTCGATGTCGTTTTCGATCGACCATTGATTAGTAACATTAAAGTGTTCTCTAAAGTGCCAGTGAGTCCTCGGGTTTTGTCACTGTTTGCCATATTTTTGCATCGTCTGCAAACATTGACGTTTGTGGCCCCAGAATGTCCGTTAGGCCGTTTATGAAAACTAGAAAAAGTTGAGGGCCAAGCATGGATCCCTGTGGAACTCCTCGTGCCACGTTGGTGGGATTAGAAAGTGATCCAGAAACACGAACTGCCATGGTGCGTTGTCGAAGACTTTATTACTTCGCATTGCGGTTTAGCTACCACCTATCGTGTTTTACTCCTTCTCATAGCACTAGCAAATTGTATGAATCTCATGTGGATTCCTGTGTGAGTTAGGTTCGGAATATGCACGGCGACTACTCTCACGCTCTTCTTTCCCATTCACTTCTGCCATTCAACTCCTACGACTCATTCTTCTCAGGATCACGATGCTTCCATCTGTCCATTTCGAATTAGGTCCCTATCTTTACCAAGAAAGACAAAGTTGCTGCGCTGCGCATGAAACTTCTTCCCT